TTGAGCCTAGACACAAGAGAGAAAACTGAGAGAGAGGAAGACTTTCTGCTAGTCGAGGAGGATTTGATTAGGGATTACTTAGGCGAACTGGATGCCCATAAATCTATGGGTCTGGATGGGATGCACCCAAGAGTGCTGAGGTAAGTGGTAGGTGCTATTGCTAAGCCACTCACTATCTCTTTGAGAGGTCGTGGGGAAAAATGGAGGTGTTGGAGCACTAGAAGAAAGCTAGCATCCCTCCAGTCTTTAAAAAGGTCAAGAAGGACAACCCAGGAAACTACAGGCTGCTCAGCTTCACCTCTGTCCCTGAAAAGGTCATGAAGCAACTCATCCTAGAGAGCATATCTGGGCTTGTGGAGGAAAAGAAGGTGATCAGGAGTGATCAGAACGGATTCATCAAGAGGAAGTCATGTTTGACAAACTCGATAACCTTCTACGATGGGATGACTAGCTGGATAGATGAGAGGAGAGCTGTGGATGTTGTCTACGTTGACTTCAACAAGGCTTTCGACGCTGTCTCCCATAATATCCTCATAGGAAAGCTCCAGAAGTGTGGACTGGACAGGAGGACAGTGAGGTGGATTGAGAACTGGCTGGATGGCAGAGCTCAGAAGGTGGTGATAAATGGGGCTGAGTCCAGTTGGAGGCGTGTGGCCAGGGGAGTCCCGCAGGGGTCAGTACTGGGSCCAGGGCTGTTCAACCTTTTCATCAGTGACTTGGAGGAGGTCACGGAGTGCACCCTGAGCAAGTTTGCAAATGATACCAAGCTGGGTGGAGTGGCCAACAGTCCGGAGGGCTGTGCTGCCATCCAGAGGGAACTAGACACGTTGGGGAGCTGGATAGAGAGGAACTTCCTGAGGTTCAACAAGGACAAGTGCAGGTTCCTGCACCAGGGGAAGAATAATCACAGATACTGGTGCAGATTAGGCGTTCACGTGCTGAAAAACAGCTCTGTGGAAATGGATTTGGAATTTTGCTTGACAGCCAGTTATACCTCAAGCAACAATGTGCTATTGTGGCCAAGGTCAGTGGGATTCCGGGCAGCATTAGGAGGGATGTTGCCAGCAGGTTGAGAGAGAGGATCCTGCCCCTTTCCTCAGCTCTGGTGAGGCTGCAACTGGAGTACTGTGTGCAGTTCTGGGCTCCCCAGTAGAAGAGACATGGAACTTCTAGAGAGCGTCCAGCAGAGAGCAACAAAGATGATTAAGGGACTCAGACAGAATGGGTAAGGGGTAATGGGTACAAACTGAAACATAGGAAATTTCATCTTTATCTGTGGAAGAACTTTACTGTGATGGTGATGGAACACTGCCACATGCTGCCCAGAGAAGTTGTAGAGTCTTTGTGAAGATATTCGTTGGACATCTTTAAAATTCACCTGGATGTGACCATATGCCACATGCTCTACGTATCCGTGCTTGAGCTGGAGGGTTGGACTAGATGGTCTCTAGAGGTCCCTTCAAACCTCAACCATTCTGTGATTTTGYGATTATTTAAACTATTCTTTTGCTTCAAAGTGATTCTTTTTTATCTAATGAATACCCTGATATTTTTGTATGCACCTCAAGTTGGGTGATACTTATATGAATATACATGATTTCTAAATATGGTAGATTTTCTATTGACTGACATGTTGTCAGGTTTGGGTTCTTTTTTAATAGCTTTCTGACTCCTAGAGGAATTAAACAGAAAGTTAAAATATTCTTAGTAATGATTACTRCATTGATTATTTATTACAGGTTACATTGTTAGTAATTATTTTAGTTAATATTTGAAAGTAACTTCCATTAATTTTCTTTCTAATTCTAAATCCTATTAAGCAAAGACTTTATGGGGAAATCTTAAAGGTGTCACCTCGATCAAGAGCACACTTATCCTTAGCAGAAGTCTTCATATTACATTACCATTTGCCTTTGTTTAAAGAAAAAAAATCTGTAAATTGCCAATATCCCACTTACTTTTTTTATTTGGCAGCTGCAACAAAAAAAAAATATAAAAACTCTTTAGTGCTTCTACACATACATTTATTAAGGAATTACTATCCATACTTCAGAAGACCTGCATCAAAATCTTCTTCAGAAGATTTTAATTTCAATTAAAATCTCTATAAGAGAAGTCACATTTAGCTTCTGCTTGTGATTTCTTATCAGTTACTAGAGCTTTCTGCTAGCTCTTAATCAGTTTGTACTTTTTGATCCTTCCTATTTATGGAATTATTCATGGGATAAAGAAGGGAGCATGATACATAGAAAGAATTAAACATCTCTAATCTCTATTGTAGAAAATCCTTCCGTACAAGATAATTCCCTTTATTGACAAGTGCATAGTTTGACTGCAGTCCACAGGCAAGAGGGAAAGGGTTTTTTTAATTTTTCGGTAGCCATCTTTAGCATTACTGCTATATTTCCCTTAGAATTGGAAACACAACAAAGCACTGGTCTTACTGTCATGGTTCAAGGCACCAGAAAGAAAAGAGAAAGCAGCAATTTCATCTTTTCGTTCTTCTCAGCATCTGAGGTGGTGACTAGGCTGTGTTGTTCTCAGTGACATAAGCCAGCAGGGCCCAGAGCAGCCAGCTGTGGTATCCTCTTTAATCCTCCCTCTGCAACTCGTCTTCTTTAATCCTAACTCTGTCCTCCTCTGGAAAGCCAGGATACTTTGACTCAAATGTGGATTGTGTTTTTCCATGGTCAAAGCTGAAAGCTGTCATGCTGTTCAGCACTTGGATAATCCAGCTGACACAAATCTATTTATATATTTACTTAATTAATTAATTTCATCCTCTTATAAATAAAGCATGGAGTGGGTGTGCTAGATCTACAGATTGCTGGGGCAGGGGCTGGAGTCTGTTGATGGTTATTCTTTTGCTCTCCATTACTGTAGATAAGAAAAGCTGAAAATGACTTACTTCTGCCTGAAGCATCCTGAGCTCACAAACTCCTTGATGTCCTGAGCTCACAATACATTTCCATACTTAGTGGTGTGGCTGCAGCCTACTTATTGCGCCCTTAGCTGCTGTGATGTTTTGCAGCGTGAGAGAGGAGTTATGTGCATTTTGGGTTTTGCAAAAGCTGAAAGTACCACACCAAGGAGAACAGAGCCTATTCCTTTCCAATCCACCATACCTACTCATAGGGATGGACCCATCCCTCAGCTTCAGCAAGCCCTGTCCTACCTATCGTTCTTGATCAAGTCCCTCGCCAGAAAGTCTTTTTCCCCAAGTCACAAATTGGGATGAATCTTCCCATTCTTTTTTTGAGATGGATGTAATTTTCCACTCTTCTTACTCTGCCTCCTCTTCCCAACTATGAGACTAACAAGCCCTCTGCACGTGCTTGATGACTCAGTTACTTGCAGTTTGTATTAGTAATGAAGGCCAGCTGAGTCTTGCTTCATGTGCTCTTTGCTGTTGTGTATTTAGACATTCCCCAAAATAGTCTAGAACTCATTTCTCAGAGAAAAGTAAGTTTGTGATTATATTAAGAACTTTAATAGAAGATTGCAGGAGGATGCAGTTAGCAATTGCTGTTCAGCACCTGCTCTGTACTGGTGGGAAGAGTAGCAATGTGTCACTCAAAATGGTAGCTGGCCTCATGGAAGATGAGTGAGGAATCCTGCAGCCATTAGCTATCACTGTGTCATTTGGCCTTTACATACTTTGCAAATTTGACATGGTTCCTGAAGATTTTGATATCTGGTAATAAACTTTAAAATTGTCTGATTTACAGTTGCAGTAAGTGCAGTGGTTTATCTCCCTACAGTGCTAAGACCTTTTTTTAATTCCTATTTTTCAATTTAGCCATTTCCTTCACTACAACATAAGTAAAACAATTTGCAAAGTTAAATTTCAGTCTTTTTTTTTTTGATGTGTTCTTATTGATGACTCTTTTTTTTTTTTCTTTAGAGAACATCTTTGTAAATTAAGTATTTCTTTGTAAACAGTAAACATGTACTTCTAATTATTGCTAGGGATGGTAGTTTGTTATCCCATTGTATTGTCCCAGGATGTGTTTGTGGGTAGAAAACATCATGTGTGAAATAACGGMCGAACACATTTTTTAATATTAAATGTAAAAGAAAGTTTCATCTAATGTAAGTTTGACATCACCTATTTGGTTTACAAAGAATATATAAAGCCATTTTATTTGTATTGCTATTGTCAACAACTAAAAATCCCCAATAAATATTCATCCTGTTCATCAGCCCAATATGCAATTCTCTATTCTGAAAAACAATTAACAGAATACATTGTGACTATAATAGAGTTTATTTGCAAATATTTGCAAGGGGATTATCTGAATTACAGATTAAGCAGGTTTACCTTCCCCTTTCACTCCTGATCAGTGTCACACGCTGCTTCTTGCAAGTCTTGCAAGTCCATGCAGTCTTCACCAGGATTTTCTCTTTTTTTCATTAATGTCTAAAATTGTATCTGTTTTCTATGAAGGATTTTGAAGATATATCCAAAAATAAAGTTATATTCTGATGTTCTAAGTTACATAGATTTTTATGTTGCAATTTTTGTTTTCTTACATCTGTCCTACTGTACCACCACGGCAACTGAGAATTCACTGGGTGAATCTTTTAAACTACTTTCAGGATAGTGACCAAATTACTGCTTTTCACAAAATGGATTTAATTTGCCGATTCTCATATTTCTCTTTCATGCAACAGTTTCATATCTCAGGACAATTTTCTTTTTTTATTCTTTTGCCTTTTTTTTTTTTTTTCCAAAGCTGCCCCAGTTTAAACACATGTGGCTATTGGACTGCAGATACCTGGTAACTGCCTGTAATGGCACTGTTATGTCTAAGGCAATATTTGTGTATATTTGTAATTTTAATGTTTTTAGAAAAGAAGGGAAAATCCATGCTTATGAGTATAATGCTTATGAGATCAATTTTTAAGGCGTTTTGTTTTTTCCTCTCTGGTATACAGAATGCTTTTAATAGCCCTCTGATGCTTATTCTTGGACTCTTCCTCTCTGTCTTCCAGGCTCTGACAGAGATGGCAGACACAGCTCCTAGGAGTTTCCTCGTTGTCTTTCCGGTTTTATTTATCATATTGCTTCCTCCTATTACCCTGTTCATTCCATGGAAAGCARGAAGAGATCCGGAAGACACAGGGGACACACCTCTCAGCGCATCTGCAGAAGCATTAAAGCAATTCCCAATGACTCTAACTGAAGACATCACCTTCCAATGCAAGGTAATAGCAGAAAACCTAGGTCTGTGTTAGGCTTTGGGATTTTGATTGAACACCARAATTCAAAGTTAAGAGACTAAAGAATAGAATTTAAAGAACAGCAGTATGTATGTAAGACATGACAGGTAAGTTCAAGGAAATTGAGCAGCTTTAACTGTAACACTGCTGTAACCGTGTAACTGTAACCATAAACATTTGAAGGTCTGGGCAATAAATATTCAACAGTAAGTGTTCTTTTCTAATATTTTTGACTTGATCAGCAAAAATAAACCATTTCTGAACACATGAATATGGAAAATAAAGCCATATGTCTTTGCTCTACATCATGACGGGTAGAAAAGTAAGTGATAATGGGTAAAGTCTATCTGACTTTAAAAACCCATTTTTATAGCTGTCTGTAGTTTTAGCTATCTCTCCAGTGCAGAGGAGGAAGTGTTTAGAGATGTGTCAAATGTGTGGCAGACCATCTGTGACTTACTTTGAAGAGCTGCAAACTCTGCTAATTTGAATTCTGTTTTGGCAAACAACATTGGGGAGAGATCTTACCAGATTCAGTGGGCAGARAGTAGGTTTGAAAGTTCAAATGTAATTCAGTTTCAGGTATCCCAGCTCACCTACCATTACTGTGATTGCAATTGGGATTTTACAGCAAACTTTCTTATATATATGACTATCCAAGGTATTTAGAAGATAGATCTATCATTTTTATTCTATTTTTTTTTTCAACTTCAGAACAGTCCATCAAAATGACAAAGCCTTTTGCTGAAGAGCACAGAGCACAGAGAATTGCTGTCATAATAGTTTGTAGTATTTTACTGGCAAGATAAGCACTGTATTTGAGGCCTGTGCTTAAAGTGCAATGACCTGGATTGCATATTGTGCTGGTAACCTTTTATTGAGTAAAATGAGAGTTTAATGCTGATGTGCTTGACTGCAGAACTTTTTTATTTATTTATTGTCCAAACAATAAATACCTATTTTTGTTAAGCAAATGGATCTAGAGCTGGGCACAGTGGCTAATTGTGCTGAGACAGACATGGTCAGCCAGGTTCAGCCACAGCCCAATCTGTACTTGCTCAGGTCTCAACAGGTGCAAATGTTGATACTGAATTAAAGAAAGAAAGAAACAAACAAACAAACAAAAAAAACAGTTCACTAGATTTGTTTTTTGTTTTAAGTACAGCCTTTGAGCATATCAGTGGACACTATGAAAGGTCTATTGCTGAGGTGATTTATGGCTTTAAAGTTCTTCTGTAATAATGAAAGATATCTGAAAATGATAAAGGCAGTTGCCTATATAAACATTCCCTTTTCTTCCTGGGATTCCTCATAACCTGTTTCTTATGTAGTCTAAGTAGTTCTTTATTACGTTTTTATACTCATTGATTTACATAGGGTTATCTGTGCTAATGATCGAGATAAATTAAGTTCCTTCAAGAGAAAGCAGAGGTAGGCATATTTGCTTTTGGTTGTACATTAGACATTATATGTGGGTGAAAAAAACATAACTACTGAAATTTTCAAGAGATACTACTTTACTCAACTCTAGATAGATAGCTATAGTGGACTTTAGGTATAAACTGATGACAGATCTGAAAAATTAGAAGATGAGGTGGAAGGTATGTAATGTAGGCATATGCATATTTATATATTTATTTATAGGACTATATTCAAATCTAGTCCTGCATTTTCTTCATTTTTTCTCAAAGGTAGCCCAAAATGATATGCTTTATTTCAGATGTAATATTACAACATACTAATATAGTAGTATAACAAAATATCTCATTTTACCTCATATGTATTTATCTCAAAATATCTSATTTTTAGGATTGCTCAACAATAATTAAAAGCTATTATTTTGGATACTTAAGAGAAAGATTTGTTTTGCTTAYCCATTACCAACCTTTTAAGCATCTATCATCTATGATTTGTAATATTATAAGTTATGGATAAGTGGAGGCAGGTAATAAAGAGGCAGGTTTAAGAAGGATGCACAATAGCATCTCTAATTTTGTATAGAGTTCTTAAAGGAAAATTATAGAAACAAAATTTGGCATCACTCAAAATGAATGTTCACGCGGAATCATAGGACATTTTCTAAATTATTAGATTCATATATTCTGGATGTATGTTTTTATAATCTAAAAAGTCAGCAGGTTCTAATAGAATATGTAACTTCAAAAAGATCAGATCTGTTTACTAGGTCTTACACTAATTCAATTTCTATGTTCCCTGAAACTATGTAGCACTTGCCATATGGGAATGATTTAATCCTTATTCTTCATATTCTATGATCTTTAATCTTCTGTGGTAAAATATTTTCACCAGATGATAAGGTAAATCCTGTAAACCATTTGTTGTCAAACAGAAAAGTCTCAGCCAAAAGCATAAATTATTTCATCCATCAACAGATAAACCTATGAAAAGACCAAATCACCAAATTTACAGATTTTTTTTTGATGTCTTTCACATTTTGTTCTGGCTTGAAAATTCCTACAAGGTTATGGCTTGCTCAAGTAATAAGAAATAGATGAAAGATCAGTAAACATCAAAAAGAGCAGAAATATTGATAAGTTGTATTATTTTATACATGTCTCCTTTCATCCTTATACTTTTTTAAAAATAATCAAGTGGAACAATGCCGGTTCACTTAATCATCCATAACTCCTAGCTCCAGGCTGTAGAAGAAAAGGTTACATCTGTCAACTGGAAGATGTATTCCAGAGAACGGTTTTCAAATCATTCACATGTCACTTCCAAACATATAATTTCTAAAGTCTATTAGTAGTAGACCAAATACTATATAAGTCTATATAGTAGTAGTCAAAGTATGTGTATATATATAGTGTGTATATATATACCTCAACACACATATGTATATATACATATACTAGTACATTAATGTACTAGTATATGTATATATATGTATATGTTATATATACGTGTATACTAGTGTGTGTATATATATATACACACTATATATAAGTATACTAGTACACTAGTGTACTAGTATATATGTGTGTGTATATAGTGTGTATATGTATATATACACACTACACTATATGTACTATTTAAAACATTGAATTATTCTTTATACATTTTTGCTTGTCCTGAGAAGAATGTCCATTTCACTGAGTGAAACAGATTTCTGGTAGTGGTATAGGGATTATGCCATATATCCAAAGAAAGAAAGATATATGTCAAAAATATTAAGTCTCATCAAACATTGACTATCAAGAATCAGCAAATTAATCTTRTTATTCCACATTCATGGAGTACACAGATTTTCTATAAATATGACTATGCTTTTTTTTTTCCTGTTTCATAACCATCTTCAGAAGTTAGCTGAGTTGGAAGGCAAACCATTGGAAATCTTAATATTTACAGAATAAACAAAACATTGATACATACAGGAAATCGTTCCATCTGTTTTACTTGGATTTTTGAAAATAACTAGAAAGTACCCAAGGAACCTTTAGTTAATGGAAAGTAATGTTAGCAAAGACCGTAGTTTAATCTCAGAAGTAATAATACGGCAGTAGGAGGAAACTGTGGACATGAACTTCTTCAGCATGTTATTAGACCAAGKCACTTAATATCCGTGTTTCAATATTTGGTTGCTATGGCACTCAGTGTGTTAAGTTAGATAGGTAAGCTTTCTAGCCAGTAGCCCATGTGTGTTACCAGCTAACATTTCACTAATCTTTTAATGGAARAAATTACTTTGGGTAGACACTCAGCCATCGTCTGCATTTCTTTCTTTTCTTGATTTTTCTGTACATACACAGGTGCATGTTCAATTAATGAAAATTGTTTTGACTCGGCATGAAAAGGAGGGCAAAAGAATAAAGGTAAAAAAATTAAAATAGCATCACACTTCATCTAGTTTATGATTAATTGGATAAATTATTKTTATCTTTTGTTCAAATACCATTATCAGACATTATAATGTTTGTCAATATATAAAGTTATTTTTCCGTTCTGTCATCAGCAGATATTTTTTAGGAACATGTCTAAGCTGAAGAGTGACTGCTTCTATATAGACAGACCCAATCTAGTTTTAAGCAGCAGCTCAGTTAGTGCTATTGATACAACCACAACTGCCATTAAAACTGACTTTGGATGAAACCATTCAAATGGTACTATATCTATTTGGGACCTGATGGATGGATGGAGTATCTGACCTTGGCTATTTAAGCAAATTTGTATCAAAAGCCTTACATATTTTAGTTACAAAGATGTAAGTATGTGTGGCCATTCATGCCTTGTTCCTTTGCAATAAAAAATGGCTCAAATATTATATCTTACTCCAGCACTGAGAGCCCCATTTTGTGTTCTTCTTTTTCTGTGCATCAGGATCAAATATGAGATAAAACGTAGTCCAAAGCTAAAGCTCTTAGAAAACATCTATTTTGGCAGCTAAAAGACATGCTTCCCAGAGACAAAGAGCAGAAAGAACAGCCTCCCAGAAATCTTTAGTGAGTACTTGTCTCATGAAAGATATATTGTAACATATCCAAAACGAAAAAAAAAAAAAAAAAAAGTTTCCTAGAAATGTGATCACCCGTGACATAAATAGTTCTGTCTTAAGATCATCAGATCAACTCTCAACTGTCGCACATAATGGTTTTCCCATCTCTAAGTGGATAAGTGAATGAAAAGATGAGTGAAAGAATGAATATCATGTAAGTAAATGTTTGATATGGTTGAAGGTGCTGAACAGAATGGATCTTAACCAAAAGTATATCTGAGAAATCTATATGCTAATTGTTTATATTACCTTTMTGTACAAGCCATGGAAATAGAGCTTCTTTAGTAAAGAAGTCTTTAGTGACTTCTGTCACTAGAGGAGGTGCTTCTAACCAAAGTGAGCAAGACTGCCAAAGTTTCCCAGGATACGTCTTTAGACCTTACTTTGTTTTTCTCTCAACCTTTTCCTGTGCTATTCTTTCTGCTTTGAGTACTTTTGAGTCAGAGGTTTGATGTTTTTTGGCAGTGATCATGACAATCCCTAATGTAGACTTGTCAGTAAATAATGGAGTGGCTTTGGCTGCCTGAATTTCTATTGTGTTTGAAAGTAGTGACATCAAGAAAAAATATTTACTTTGCTGCTGCTAGTCCCACAGTTTGGGACTTTTCTTAAATGTGAATTGTGTAGGGCATTACTGAGAAAAGCACTGCACCAATTTGGTCAACAGTTCRTGAGTAATAAACATAGGAAGTTTGATGAATGTCATATATTGACAAGCACAATGCCCCTTGGGTTCATTGCAAGGTGCTTTTTTTGCCATTAGTTTTTCATTAATAAAAAAAGATATTATCTGGCATCTCCCAGAGCCAATATTCTGATGGTCTTCATTTTGTTGTGCAAACACACAAAAGCATTAAACTGATTCAAGTACATTATTTAAGTTGTATGACTTCAGTTGGGAAGTACTATCTAAGGTATTTAACAAATACATTGTTTATATCCTCTCTGATATCATTTGCTGTTTTTTATTTGGGAATAGTTTTCTTATTTTTTTTTAGAGAAAACTCTAGAAATACCAAAGCTGGAACAACATAGAACTAGATGATAACTTAATTGCACTGGAAAAGCATTTCTAGGAGAGATGAAAGAGATGATGGCACAGCTGTAGAAGAACTAACACATGCTGTCTATATGTGATTGGATTGTAGTACATAGAGGAAATAGGATGAACAGCTATAAATACAGCTATTTGAATTCTGTGTGCCTTTATACAATCTCCTTCAGAACTGTGAAAAAATCAACTTGCAATAAGCAAATGGGAGTTCTTATTTGCTTGTTGTCATACAAATTTTAAACAGACTTAAGCAGTAGAATAACACTATCACATATAAATTGATATTCTGATGGTTTCGGAAGAAACCAGAAGAATTAAAAAAAAAAAAAAAAAAAAAAAAAAAAAGCAGCGGTGGATTTGCTAATATTCTGTGTTGCTGAGATTCAGTCTTTAAAGGTTTTTTATATGCCTCAACAACATTGCACTGAAGAACCCAGAAATGCAAAGAGTGGCGCACATAGTTAAAATTTTGGAGGAGGAATAAAATATTTTGCAAAAATATACTTCTTGCATTTGGCAGAATAACTGTACTCAAAAGATATACAAAATTGAATTTGAAATGTTCTGGCTTCTGGCTAAGATTGCATATTATCTCTAACCCACTATTTAAATTTCTGTCTACAAAAAAAGACATCAAGTGTCATTGATGTGAAGAATAAAAAAAATGCTCTATAAAATATTCCCTCAATAATGTTTTATCTTTTGAAAAGATTTGCATATTAATACATCTATTTTTGACAAAAAAAGTAATATGGATAAAACAGTATATATGAATCTAAACATTTCTGTAGCTTTGAAGTATAATTGAGTAGCTGAAAGAGATACTACTATTACTTAGCAATACCTTGAAATTATGTACATTAAGTTTCACAGGATTTACTACTAAGGATTTTATTTGGAGGAACAGTTGTTTTATATGTGTGAGTACAATTAATATCTTGGCTTGTGCTCTCRCTGCCGCTGTGCTGATGCCAAGGAAGAGTGTACCAGACCAGACTTTTAAATTCTCTTTCATTTGGTTGGCTAGATGGTCTCCAGAGGCTGGGGTCTTCCAACCTCAGGCATTTTGTGATTCTCTACCTCTCTACCAGCATATGCATMGCAAATTCCTAGGTCTAAGAGGTCCTTCCTGCAGCCTTTTCTCTCGGTATTTTGCCTCCATAACTGTCTCGGGAGCATGCTGTGCTGCACAACTGTCATTTGGAGAGGGATCTCATGGCAGCTCACATTGAGTCTACAGACAGGTTTTTTAGAAAAACATGCAATGAAAAACCAACCCAAGGGGGTAGGTGTATTTGGAGTAATACTGCACAGAAGTAAAATGAAGCTGAGAGGAGTAGGTATCTGGTATTGAGTGAAAAAGTAATGACATTATTTTCTGTGCATCTGTGGTTTTCAGAACTATATAGTGGTATTGTCCAAGGAAGAGATGTGTTTGATGGTGCTGGCAAAAGGAAGGTGGAAGAACATCAGGACACAGTTGCTCCCCCGTGTATGGTCTAGGCTCTCACTCCCTGTTTAAGTCAGTCATTTTAGACTGCAAGGACATGTTGGCAGGTATGGTGTAACAAGGCGATATTAGATTATGAGTTAATATAGTGATTTGAATGGAAGGACTTCCTGTCAAAATAACAGAAATTATAGAATTAAAAATTAAGTATTTCTGAATGTGAATCTGTAATTAGTAGATGCATCTTTTAAGYGACTGGCCTGCCTTGCTAATCTGTGCAATAACGGATTTGTTATAAAGGATTTGTGGAGCTGGAAAGAAATGCTTAYTCTGTTTTTAATGCAGGTGTTTTCCACTTTCTCAATTCTGCATTTAGCAAGCTTAATAGTCATCTTCCAATCTGAACAAATTATTTATTAGTATGATGAGGTACTTCATTTTTTTCATGGCAGTGCAATTTGCGCTTTCTAGTAGAGATATCATTAAGAAACAAAAGGTAGACTTTGCTTCTTTGGTGGAATGTTGAAGAAATTAAGGTGGATGTCATATGGCTTCAGGAATGGGAATGAGTCATATTGCGTAGGTTGATGTTTGAATTACAGAGATACGAGAAGAGTATTKGTATAGCTGGTATGCCATTTATGGGTTTTATGTGCATGAAATTGAATATTTTTAGGAATTGCAACCCAGACTAAAAGGGAAAGTTACTGTGGTTTTCATGCCTATAGGTATTTGGTATTTGTTTTGAATATCTTTGAGGCAACTATTTCCTAACGGAGAATAAATACTGCTTATATAATGTATTTCTGTTTTGATTATTATTATTATTACTTCTAGATGATATTTGTTGTACAATAGCTATCCTGTTTCATGAACTGTAAGATGAATTCAAGGGTAGCATCATTGTATTCTGTGATTTTTATGAGGTATTAACATGCATGAATCATTAGTCCAAGATGTAATAGAAGCAAGAGATTGACAGCTGAAAAAGGGTTGCRTGTTTCTAGTGATATGAAAACTATCCGTTGTTAAAAAAATATGCAGCTAACAGGATGTATAGAATACTCGTCTTTTTGATGAAGGATGCAAACCAAACCCTAAACAACTTGATTAGGAATAAATTTCCCCTCCTGTATAATTTTATCAAAACCTTATTAGGGTATGTCCATTAGAGACAGAATGCTGGGCTACAGTGGGCAACTTTTACAATACCAAACAGTAATTAAGCTTTTGTGAATAATTCATGTTTTATACTACYTGTGGGGAAAAATAAAAGAAGATTCTTGGCACACTGGTTTCAGCCCCCTTTTTTTTTCCCCATGCCAAAATGAAATCCTGCACTTTTCCCATGCTATTTTTATCGGAGTGAAACATTCCTGTCAATATGAAATAAGAAAAAAAATGCGTATGAGGGTCTAGATTCATAAAATTAATGGCGAAGTAGTCACTTTCTTCCCACTTGCAGTAAGTAGCTTTGAGTTGTCACCTGCACTGAAAAAGGAAATTGTTATTCTCAGGAGATGTGAATTTAATTATTGAATCTAATCTAACTACTGTAAGGTAAGTATCCTAAGGCCTTGCCTTTTGATGATCTTTGAATGTCTTTTGCTGTCTCTGAGACTACTTGAGTGTGTGTTACAGATGTAAACATTTTCAAAGGGGGCATACAGAAAATCCAAATCAAATATAAGCTAGTGCTATAATGATTGTGAAAAATATCTCTCAGCTTAGAAAACCCTGTCAAGATTCTCAGGCCTGTACCATTAGTGAAGTGCCACTAGAAAGGTTCAAGTTTTAAACTTTTGCAATTCTCAATTTTATCTCCTATTTAAATGAAAAATGGGATGATTGTGCAAAAATCTAATTTGTTTGTCATTGACTTTATCTGCTTAAAATAGCATTTTTATAACTCCCTCCTGGTTTTATGTTCAACAGCACCTTCAGGCTTGAAGGAATCTCTATACCTACAAAGACATCGGTTAATTTCTTGCMTATCAGCTTCGTCATTGTGACTTCTTGCAGGCCAGATCTGAAAGCCACCAGGAACCTGACCCTCCTTGGTGCATGGAGAAGTCCTTGGTGTTGGAGCACAAGTGATTACATTGGAATCAGCATTGATCGTCCAGCTTGGATCTGACAGCTATGAGCTGATCCTGGCAAAAGCCACAGCCTTAAATCACATTCAGTCAGAGGAAAGAATGAAAGGGAGCCGAAGTCTTGCCCCCTTACAGAAACTGTCCTCTCTCAACCTGACACTCTGGTTCTGCACTGAGCAAGCAGAGCAACAAACAGTGAGTTTTTCATGGGGCCCAGCCAGCATCCAAAAAAAATTCAATATGTAGCCAAAAGGAAAAATGATGTATTTAGGTGATAGCAGGAAATGAATGTGTTTACTGCAAAGAAGGAGTGCTGCTGTCTGAGGTGAAAGAAGATCTCTGTCATCCCTTGTATATATTCAAAGCCATACAGGAACAAGGCACCAGTGATGTTAAATTGCTTCAAAGGATGCCACCTCCTGTCCTCCACCCAGATCTGAAGAAGTTCAGCTGTTACAGATTTCGTCTCAATGCACTTCTAGTATTTGCACTGTCACTTCCATTCAGGGTAATGATGTGTGCCACCGTTTGCACAGATGGCCCGGAAGACTTTTAATCACAACAAGCGATATTTTAAAGGGGATCTACATACTTACCGAAAAGTAAAAACTGAAGAATTGTTCTCTCTTTCACAGTGGTGATCTGTCCACTGAGAGGATTCTGGTTCATTCTTAGGTTTAAATGTATATATATATATGTATACATACATCTCTACATATGTATGTATATGAAAAAGCAACATGATGAGGTGGATTTGAAAAAGGATATTTTTTTAATAGCATCCATTTTTTATCATGTTATCAGCCAAGAAACTTAAAACTCTCAAAATTTGAACTATCAATATTTTAAAGGGGATCTACATACTTACTGAAGAGTAAAAACTGAAAAAAAAACCACATTTTTTTCTCTTTCACAGTGGTGATCTGTCCACTGAAAGGATTCTGGTTCATTCTTAGGTTTAAATGTATATATACATATACATACATCTCTATATATGTATGTATATGGAAAAAAATCAACATGATGAGGTAGATTTAAAAAAGGGATATTTTTTAATAGCATCCATTTTTTTTTATCATCAGCCGAGAAACTTAAACTATCGAAATTGGAACTATTGATATTTTAAAGGGGATCTACATACTTACTGAAAAGTAAAAACTGAAGAAAAGAATTGCTCTCTCTGTGGTGATCTGTCCACTGAGGGGATTCTGGTTCATTCTTAGATTTAAATATATATGTACATATATATTCATCTCTCTCTATGTACGTATGTATATGAAAAAGCAACAACATGATGAGGTGGATTTAAAAAGGGATTTTTTAATAGCTTTTTTTTTAATCACATTATCAGCCAAGAAACTTAACCTATCAAAATTTAAACTCTTGATGTTTTAAAGGGGATCTACATACTTACTGAAAAGTGAAAACTGAGCAATTGCTTTCTCTTTCACAGTTGTATTTTGTCCACTTAAAGGATTCTGGTTCACTCCTACGCTTAAATGTGTATATACATATACATACATATATGTGTATATATATGTGTATGTATATGTGTATATATGTGAGAAAACATTCACATCATAATAATGTGGATTCAAAAGAGGGTTATGATATTTTAATAGCATCCATTTTTATCATATTAGCAGCCAAGAAATATAAACTCTCAAGTTACACATGTAGAATGTTCCTATTTGAACACTGACATTATCCTTCTGTCACTGTTAAAGAAGTCATTTGTAATATGTATTTGACATAAAATTTTTCTAGCCATTTATCTATACTTCATGAAGAAATGTAACAGACAAACAGCAGTTTCGGTTTATTTTTCTAAATAAATGTGTTGTTTGTATTATTTTCAGTCATACATTTTGGCTGGTTTTCATCTTCAAAAATGATTTAAAGACAGAACCAAAATGCAGAAATTGTTTGTTCATGTTAAGCTGTAATGATTTGCAGACCAAAAGCTTTAAGATAAATGTTGTATTTGTAAAATGATATAGTATATTTATACAGGCACATATGTATGGAAAATTAGAGAACATATTTTAACTCTTAATTTCAGAATATATTTTATTTTAATATCCACATGAAGAAGTCTAAATATATAATGGGATAGGTTTTTTACTTTCACTAATTTTTAGCAAGTGAGACTTTGGATGCTTAGGAATGAAAAGAATGTAGATTAGTAACGGCAATTTCCCAAATTACACACAGACCTTTTATCAACTGTCTTACTTTATTTGAGAACTGTTTWTTGGGTAGTATTTTGTGTTAGGCTTTCTTGTTTGGTTTGGTTTGTTAGATTGTTATTTTTTTGTTTGTTTGTTTGGGTTCTTATTTGGGCATATAACAAGACCATAAAGAGAATACTATTTGATCACCTGAAAACTTGGATAAAGAGATTGTTCATTACAACCATTTACAGTTTACAGTTAAGAACAGTCATTGTTACCAATCTACTGAAATGTTTATTATCACATCATTGAACATTTTGATGCAAGATCTGTTTTGAATAAAATATATATTTTCCTTTTTCCTTAGTCCTTTAGCCTGTGCGTAATTTTAAGAGAAAAGTAAAGCATGCATCTTCTAGTGAACTAAAAATATTTGTCCTAAATTCTAGCCACTTGTGGTGATTTATAAAGCTGAACAAGTTTTAATATATTTTTGCTGCTCTATGGAACCTATCAATTCACTGCGCACTAATTTATATTCTTGCAAAAAAAATGGCAAGTCCAAAACTCTTTTTATCTGTGAATTAGATTCATAGTGGGCAGATGTTTTAATTATGTATTGCTCGACTCTCATGTACTAACATGTGCGTGTGTACCATTACCTATTGATGAATGAAATGTCAGCTTTGCTGAGTAAGTGTCCTTAGTCTTCCTCACATTACTGTACTTTTTTGGAGAAAGAGCTGAGCTTTGTCTTTGCTTGTCATTCTGAAGCCATAAATAGCTTTTACAACTTTTCAGAAAGTCACCAAATGAAATAATTAAAGGATTGTTATTTCCCTGCTCTGTACCCTCTATTCAGAGCAAAACTTGGAGTGATATCCATTTAAAAATATATTTATTTTATTTTATTTTATTTTATTTTATTTTATTTTATTTTATTTTATTTTATTTTATTTTATTTTATTTTATTTTATTTTTTCTATCCTATTTTCTCCTTTATGTTATTCATAAATTAAATCCTTGAATATCTTAAAGGATGATGGCTGCAGTTTGTTCTCATATACTTTAGGTTATGGTTGGCTAAGTCACTATGACTTCTCATTTCTGTGTCTTCAGAATAGTGTATTCGGTCACACAATTGGCATGGTTGTGCATGTGCCCTCTTTGGATAACTGGTGCTTTACAAYTGGAGAACTTACATATTCAAATTGAAACTAGCATTCATAGCTCTTTTATGAAAATACAACATTACAGAAACAGGAAGAAAATTCCCATTTTGGAAAAAAGGGAAAGCTCTTCTGTTTGTACACGGAAGTGCATTCATCTAATATTTTAAAAAAGCTCAATAAAAATAYAGTGAACTAACGCATTACTACTTGCAAATACATTTCTGCTATGCTAACCCAATTCTAGATCAGCTTCTGTGTAGTATTTTTATTGTACAAAAACCACCTGAAATTCAGCACACAATTTTCCTTAGAAAAACACAGGAGATAAGATCAATAGTGACCTGGTGCCAGCAGAGATTTTATGCTATGTATGTGATGCAAAAATAATAAACATATAAGAGCACGCAAGCCTAATTTGAGAGACATAAATATAATTTGAAGAGGACATTGCAAATTGTGCTTCACATCATCAACATGCTGCTGGTTGCAGCTCTGAATTAACTGAGAGTTCATGTGTTAGAGGATGGAAATTTTAATGCACACACTTGGTATCAGATTCTTCTATCACTTAGCATTGAGGCAAATCCACGTTTCTTCATTTTTTTAGATTTAGATTTAAATCAGCTGTAACTAAGTGTTGTGATTTAGAATTTTGCAATTATTCTGCTGAGATTACACAGGAAGATAAAACTGCTGGGATTTGAGGAACTGTTGGCAAATACTTAACACTGAAATATTTTTATAGATTTAAAAACCAGAAGGGACAATTAGACTAATTAATTTTGCACACTGTTGCTGTCAAGTTCATCATATCACCATATTTTTCCCACAGTCTTAGCTTGAAACACTTTGGCAAGAATCTTTCCAACTAAGTTCATTTTATAATGACCGATTTTAAGCACCAGTGCCTTCTGGTATATTTATGAGGCTGTTCTATGTAGGCACTTCATGCAGAACTGGTTCTAGCATGAGCAGACACTGTCCCATTATGATMTGAAATTACTGGTATGCTTCAAATGTGCAAAAAGAAAAAAAAAGTCTGGCACTTTTGAATGTGTTCACAAGACATGTTTTCAGTACTTGTATTTCTTTAAGCATAAAGATTGCTTTCAGTTTCTTTCAGTTCATGAGAAAATTGAGGAAATGTTGAAATACTTATTTTGTAAAATGGAGGGAAAAGCAGTTGTCTCAAGTATCACATGGTATATAATCTTGAAGGATAGGATATGATCCCTGATGAGGATGCACATACGGTATAAAACAGAGCTCTCCAATGACACTGGGAATAAAGCCTGCATGCAAGAGTCATCCTGGTGCTGCTGTATTGCCTGGGGAAGGTGGGAGGTGAGCCATGTTCTGGTGSAACATCTGTACATTTATTCCTGAAGGCACACCCAACCTCATCCGGAGACACGTGCCTGCMAGCTGCAAGCACAAGCGATGTGTGAAATATCATCTTGGGTCAGGGAAGTCTGCCAGTGAACCCTGTGGAGAAGCTTGTTGCTGCAGGATCTCCAGGAGCCCATGGCAGGAAAACTGGAGCCATGAGCTTCTGGATGCAAAATTTGAACAGTAGGAAACAAGTTGTAAGCCTCAATCTCTTCCATAATGTGCTCTGAATTATGCAGTGGTGGAAAGGTCGGGGGGACCAGTGGGGAAAGGTCAGTTTATGATGGCTAATTTCATGTCCTTGATTAATTGTCCTTTTGTTGGTTTATGAGTAATTTATATAACTGTGTAAAGCAGCAGTTTTGACAGTATTGGTACAACAGACCTGTCTCTCTACAGTGACCTTCCCTGAGTTGCAGAGAGGCTGTCAAGAACTATTTTGATGTGTAAATGAAAATGATGTAAGGAAAAGATTCAGCATCAACAAAAACCAAGGTGGCCTCAGGAATACCAGATCTGGTATGCCTGTAAGGGATGACATCTACATCAAGGTCATACATGAGTCTCCTGAATGAGTGAGAACATGGTGTGGAAGAACAGTTGCTTGGACGCTTCACAACTCCCCAGGTAGTTGTGTAGGAGTGAGTGAAGGACA